TTGTATACCATTTCGTCGTAGATAAGTGCATCTTGTATATGGTAGAAGGATCAAACTAAACACATACTAAAAACTGGAGTAGCTGTAAAATATCGATATCACACGATAGGTAAATAATGGATTTTAGTACTGCAGAAAAATAATGTCAAAAGGTACTGGTTTAAAAAAATTAAGATTAAAGTTAATTAATCAACCTTTAAGGTATAAAATTTGGTAGGTGTTATTATTAATAAAACAGTTTGTTTTATTTACCTATGTTGTTTTATTTATTCCTGTGGAATATTACAAATTTGTAAATGCGGGTGGTTTCATAAAGCTTGAAAGTAAATAATAGTTCTTTTTTATATTTTTTTGGTATGTAGTGTCTTTTTTTTTGTTTGTTTTGTATTAACACATACCGTTTTTATTAAATAAAATAACTCGATTACATTTTTTCAGTTTTATACACTTTTTTTCACAATATTTTGAAGTAATCACTTGTCATCTTGTCAATCAAATTTTAAATATTTCCTGCTATGCGTTCCAGTTGTACCAACTTATTTCTTTGTAAAATAAAATAAACTACTTTGAAATTAAAATGACAGACACATCTATCACTGTCAAGGATCTTCTCGTTGGACAGACTATACGTCTGCTGGATCTGTGTCTATGAAAGGAATGCGGACAAAAAACATTTAAATAAACAGCAATATATTTTATACGTCGACTTGACGAGTACGTCACCGCAAATCGCTCCGCCCACTCATTTTATTGGCAACTTGCAAATTTGTCGAATTTTTATTAATAGGGCGCGTCGTCTAATTTTTTTACGAAAAACGTCAAGAGAATATCGTTTCCCCCCTCTCGCGGATACCCCGTAGTTACAGAACGGACAGACTAAATACGTATTTCTCCCCAAATTTTCTGTATTTTAACAAATACATTTTATTAAAATAAAGAAAAATATGTTATCTGAATTTTTCTCAATCTGTTTTATTTTATTTTTCCATTTTATTCTTAATTTTCTCTCTAATTTTTATTTTTTGTCATGTTTTTTAAATAAAACATTATACTTATTTCTAATGTTGAAAACTCATGCGGTTATTTTTGTCACCAAGCTGTGTGATAATTGATAGTTCTTTTTTAATTTTGAAAAAATGTTTTAAATATTTTCAAAAATCCTTGAATCTCTTTGGTCTAAAGGAAAAACACACCGCACCTGCATTATAACATAATTATTTCGCAAAATTAATCATGACATGTCAGAATTTATACAAATTGGTAATTTGGGTAACTAGGTTAGAAAAAAAAAATAATTAAATTAAATGTTCAAGAGAGAGGTATACCGGGTACGTCTCGAAAGTGGTTCACCCCTATATAACTTTTTTTATTTTTTGAGATAACAAAACGTGATTTAGTATGTTAGTATATGACATAAATTAGGATTGCTTGGCGTATTCAATTATTGTTTTCGGCCACTTCCTGTTTCACGGAAAATTACTTCAACTTTTGATTTTTAAATGGCACCCTCGGATATTTTGACTTTATTCGATAGAAAATGACACTTAATTTTTGACATTTTTGTTTAAAAACAAATCGTATTTTAAATTTCAATCTAGAGTGCCATGGCTGTGTTAAAAACACTAATTTTTAATCAAGGAGCCTTGGAAAATTATATTTGATCATTTCATGTTTTCCTCTCTTCAGTTCTGTTTGACGATTCATTTGACACATTTGAATTTGATTTGAAATTTTGTGGATTTGTCAGTCTTTACGGAGCTTATTTTATGTTATTTATTATTTATTCTACTACTGATAGTTGTATAAAGGTAGTAAATCTAGATGGAAATTGTGGCAGAACTTAAATTAACAGTGACACTATCGCGATTTATCGAAAAAGACTCTAAAATAGTTGGTTGTGTAGCGTGGGGTAGATCTCGGCAAAAATTGAGTGAAATAATGGAACAACTTTTCGCTAGTAAGTAACTATATAATATACATACGTGTAGTAAACCGATCATTTATGAAATTCACTTAAATTAACTATATTATATATTTTTCTTGCATTTTAGCTTTTATTTATTACTTGTCAAAGATTAGATGTCAAAGAATTTAGATACGTTAATTTGACTTACCTGCTTCAGTAGCGTATCGGATGTTTGTGTTAATAAATACATATTTAACTTATCTATTTTATTAGAATTATATATTTTTATAACAATTTTAATAACTACCAACATTTATTTACAACGTAAAATAAAACAACAAATTATGCTACCCCACGTCTACCCTACATCATAGTTTTACATTTTTTAAATAAAATTAGAACGACACTGATAAACCGGAATTTAAGTCGGCCATATTTGAGGCCCATCGCGGTGTACCTAAGATTTTTGATATGCTCCTTCCTTAGTCTTCTTATTCAAAGGTACAATATAGAGTAAGAAACGCTCTTTTAAACGAGCCCTCGCTTGTTGGATTCCGATCATTCAGTCCAGAGTTATTAATATTCAAATAAAAATAGATTCTAACCTTCCCCCGCCACTTTATTTTGGTAGATCGGGGAAAATGGCTCTAACAAAAAATTTTCAAAATTTACTGAAGATTATGAAGCTGTTACTTATAGTACACCTTATTTAGGCAAAATTGTGTAAAAACTCCATTTTCTTATATTTCGTTGCAGTTGCGTCTCCTAGCGGTCGTTCTACAAACTTGAAAATAATTTCCAGCAATTTCCTATAGCCTCTTTAGTTATAAATATTTTTTTCTGCAGCCGCTACGGCTAATACTTTCCGAGATACGGCCGAGAGTTATTCTTAGTGGGACACCCTGTATATGTATACTATTTTATTTTTATCTGGCATTGTAGGTGTGATTTCAAAAAACTTTCCCTTTTAACAGACCCATCTTCAAATACAATAATAGAAATTGTGTGCTATTGTCTGTCATGTTCTTCGCAATTTCTTTTTAAATTATATAATACTTATGTCTGTTGTTTTTATATAAAAAAAATGAACTTAAGTATTAGCACAGCCTATTTATAATCAGCCTCTACTAATAAGGAGCCATTCTGTGCCGGAAACACTGTGACCTTTTGTGTTTGTCCAGATTCTATATCCGTACTTTATTTGTACTCTCCTAACCCTGTACATTGTACTGTCCCATTTTGGTTGAAATCATACGGTATCTCCGTTATTAATGAAGATAGAAGGGTGCGGTTTGCACAAACCTATCTCACTTTTTTGTCAAACGGAAGATGCCGTAAACAAAATTTTCATAGCCCTTTTCGTTTCCGAGCTACAGGGTCTTTTTGAAAGTTTTGCAATTTGGGTCACCTCCTGTATCTCTGTTATTGTTAAAGCTATCGAGAAGGTGAAAACTGTTTATTGTAGAACTTTTTACGTAGAATACAGTGGCGTAGTCTGTTTTTCTACCAAAAAAATATTTTTGAAAATATGAACTAAAGTTATGTTTTTTTAAATGGAATACCCTGTATATTTATAAATCATATGATCTCTCTTGCTATAAGCTTCTCAAAAATGTATATCACTCTATATTTATTTTCACTATTTACTGCAATATTTAAAAGTTTTTATTAAAAGATCATATTTATTAGTAGTTCATGATTGATAATAAAAGAAACTAAAGAATTATTAAAAGTATACTGGCTATCTGTCTCTTGTTTTATTTTGGGAGCCGCTAATAAATTCTTTATATATTAGGGAAACTTAAGTCTCTACCGCTATTTGTAAATTTTGGAATAGGTGTATACGTAAGAATAATCTATCGTATCGAAAATTTTAGATATTCCTTTAGCTAATTTACGTGAAATATACTTTCAGCAAGATGGGGAACATTCCCCCTCATAACTATAGAAATATTAGAATACTGTTAAATTATTATTTTTCAAATCAATGAATTGGAACCAGTGAACACATATTGATAGTCTCCTCGATTCCCGGATTTCGCCGTTCTCGATTTCTGATTTTGGGGATTTTTGAAATACGAAATATATCGTGGGCACTACAACAATGTCGAACACCTGAAAATTGCTTTAATAATTCATGATTTAGATATTTGCAAACCCATCCCGTTATAAAAAAAGAAAAATATATTCACAGTTTCAGTGGTAACAGTTATTTCAAAAGTAAAATATATCAATCCCAAATAAATTTTAATATGTGTATGACTATTTTAGTAAATACCATTTTGATTTTTTGTTATTTATTACGGCCTACTAATAAGAAAATTATATATTTTAAATATTGCAGTAAATAGTGAAAATAAATATAGAGTGATATATATTTTTGAGAAGCTCATAGCAAGACCGATCATATGATTTATAGATATACAGGGTGTTCCATTTGAAAAAACATAACTTTAGTTCATATTTTCAAAAATATTTTTTTGGTAGAAAAACAGACTAAGCCACTGTATTCTACGTAAAAAGTTCTACAATAAGCAGTTTTCGCCTTCTCGATACCTTTAACAATAACAGAGATACAAGGGGTGTCCCAAATTGCAAAATTTTCGAAAAGACCCTGTAGCTCAGAAATGAAGAGGGCTATGAAAATTTTGTTTGCAGCATCTTCCGTTTGACGAAAAAGCGGGACAGGTTTGTGCAAACCGCACCGTTCTATCTTCACTAATAACGGAGATATCCTATTATTTCAAGCAAAATGGGACACACTGTACTCTGCACCAACTTGTACAGGTTCTTGTACTCCTTCACCATAGCATGGGAGCATTGTTCCTTCGGTTCTAACTTTGCTTTGCAGTGATATATTATGTACTCCACTGTTTCAGAATCTTTGTCGCAATCTGCAGCAAAGACTTACTTGATACAGGTTGAGCATTAGCAATTCCTTTGTGGTTTTAAAATTAGATACTTGGAGGAAGACCTTGCTACGCCTGTGCTCCTGTCGGTTTTTCCAGTAATCATGTTAAGGAACCAACCACTACTTCGTTATTAATTTTCACCCTGTATATACAAAAAACTTTAATTATTAAGCTACACTTACCCGAAAAACTAATAAGCAGCAAATAGCAACAACCGAAAAGGACACTTTGTTTCACCCAACAATTTTTAAACATAATTAAAAAATTAATTCAAACACTGTCCGAAAGAACCTAAACGCGATTATTGTCCCGACCGATAAAGTGCACGTTAAAAGTGAAAGCCGGTACCCGACGAACTGCCTCATAGGGTACCACAAATGCCGGTACCATCGAGGAACCGATTCACATGTGCGACAGACGTGTGGATGGGTGGAGGAATTGCCCACACATTCTTAAGTCGATCTGACCACGTTCACTTTCATTTATTGCAAGATCGGCTGGCGATGAAGATAAAGAGATATTTATTTACATATTATGTCGAAGAAAACAGCTTCTTCAGTTGGCGAAGAAATTACAAACACCCAATCTTAGAAATATTTACTTTTGCAAATATATGTATGTGTATATGTATATGTAATAGTCTATTATGCCCTTCCATTCTGGGGTACTTGCTGCGCGACAAAATTTGATCGTATTTTCAAACTTCAAAAGCAGTTCGATATTTATTGGGACTGAACAGCAGAACTCACTGCCAGAATTTCTTTAAAAATTTCACAATACTGACTCTTCCTTCTTTATTCATTTTTGAATCCGTTTGTTTAATCCGCAAGCATATATCTGCTATTCCCGAAAGGCCACTTCACAACTATCCACTTAGGAATGCGGAGCACGATCTTTATCTGCCAACCCCGAGCTCAGAACTAGTTAAAGGCTCAATACTGTACAATGCCAAAAATTGTACAAACATATACTACAATACTACCTTTGGATATCAAGTCGCTTTCATTCTTTCCCGCATTTCGCAAAGCTCTGAAATCATACTTACTGGAGAGAGCCCTATATGCGGCAAACGACTTTTTTGTTGATATTTAATATTGAACGATTTGAATTTTAAAATTTTCATCATCTCACATACTGGTTAAAAATCTAGTATTTAATATTTCATAATAACTCTAAAATTTACAATTTTCCAATTGTAAAATTTTATTGATAATTATTAATTGTTATTTTTGGGTTCTTCAATGTCTTCGGGTTCTGTAATGTATATTTTATTTGTAATTTTTTTTTGAATTGTATGATGCTTGGTTAGATCTTTTATTATTTGTATATTTTTGTGCTTTTGTTTGTTTTTTAAATGCTTTGTCGATGAAGCTATTTTGGCTTTTTGTACAATAAAGCGTTATTTATTTATTATTATATTTGTATTTTTTTTTGTATTTCTTAGTTTTTTTGTGTGCTTTTAATTACTGTATATTTATTGTTTTTTTTTGTTTTGCTTATTTTAAAATATTGCATTTTATAAACTCTGTCATTCTAGCCATTATGTAATAGTCATGTCTGTCAGCGCAATCCCGGGGCTTAAAGCGGTGGCGGCCAATCGAAAGGGTGAAATTTTGACACTTAAAATATTATAAGATACATAAGTTATAAATGCGAAAATAGCTTTTATTTATTATTAAGAAACGTGGAAAATTGTTGGCAGACATTTTTTTAGTCGCTAAAATGACAACAGACAACGCGAAAGAGGCATGGAATTTTAAAAATTATTAAAAAATGAAATTTGAAGAATGAAAAAATTTATGGCATATTTGCATGCCGATTGGTGAAATGTCATATTTATTTATTGTAAAAGCCGTATGCAAAAGGGGAGACAAAAAGATCGTGGCTCAATCACCTGCAGACAGTTTCAAAAGTGCGATATTACTCTAGCGCTGTATTCACGGAATGCTGGCCGCCTCATCCATTTAAGTATAGATAAATCATATAATATACGATTATATTATAAATATATTTTTTTATTATTTCACTAACGATTTTTTTGTCTGCCCTTTTGCATACGGCTTTTCAAATTAATTAACAAAAAACATGACATTCCACCAATCGACATGCATGTGTATGCGATGATTTTCTTTTGTCAAAATTCTATGCCTCTTTCGCGTTGTCTGCCGGCATTTCAGCCACGAGAAAAATGTCTGTCAACAATTTTACACGTTTCCTAATAATAAATAAAAGCTATTTGGCAATTATAACTCGTGTACCTTATAATATTTTTAGTGTCAAAATTTCACCCTTTCGATTGGCCCGCTTTAAGCCCCGGGATCGCGCCCCAGACATGGCTATTTCACAATGGCTACACAAAAGGATACTTCACACAACAAATTAACCATGTAACGATGATAAGGTTTTTTATGTAGCCAGCTCTCGGTCTATAAGGATACTTATATCCATTTTAACAATTATTTAATAAATTATTTTATTTGATTTGATTTAATATATTTTTCTAACACTTTTTTGTCAATGAAAAAAATTTAAAAAAATCAAATTAAAAGCCTAGAAAAATAATGTTAGTTCTAACTTGATATCGATACAAAAGTATTTAAGAAATATTTAAATATCAATATACGAAATAAATAAAAGCACTAAAAAATTCAATAACGTCTTTTATTACTTTACATTTCCAGAAATAATATTCATCATTCAATAATATTCCTAGTTAACCTTTAGACATTTTATAAAGTGATTTTTATACCTTTCTTCTTTTGAAAACATGAAGTATTAACAGGTACCCTATTAACGCAAAATACATATATATGTTATATAGCTAAGTTGATATTTATTAACAGAAAAACATATATCACAAAGTTTGGAGTAACATTACAAAATATTTTTGTTGTATTAAAATATCCTTCTTTTCAATTCTTTTACTTTAGATTTTTTTTTTCAATTTATTTAATTTCTCTTAGTTTTTTATTTTTGTATTTTTTTTTTGTTCTTCTTTTCTTTATTGTTTATTTTCATTATTTTGTAATAATACGTCCAAACTATTAATATTTTTCAAACACACAGAGAGTTTAGAGAGATATGCGAAAATTCAAACATTAATATATGCTAATAAGACGTTTAAATTTGTTTAAATATACTTTATATGTATATCTTTTTATATACGATTTAGTTATTGCATTCTAACACTACCGCAATAAGACGTATATGAAAATTTCACAGTCACGTAACTTTTTTTTTTGTACAAGACAACGATAAATATAATAATTATACAAAGTGCCCAAAAATCTTAGCCACATAAAAGAAATATTTTTTTCTAATGTATGGTTATAGTTTCTTCGAATTTTCAAACAGCACATAACATAGACCAATCTTAGTAAAAATACTATTTTAAGCTTTTTTTTGGTCTTAAATTATGGGATAACTGTCATTTTGTAATGTCAGGTTTATGAGAAAGAAAATATGATGTAGCAATTTTTTTGGACATACTGTATAACTTAAAGATACAGTAGTGAACGTGAAATTTCCATACTGTCATTTTCGTTAATAAATTTACAGAAAACATATAGATTAAAAGCAAAAAAAAAGCACGACAAGTTTGTACACACCAGATATTACTATATTGTTTATAACTTTAAATATACAATCACACATTTTATTTTCTGACTTTTATAATAAAAAATAAACAAATACAATATAGTGTGAAACAGCAATATTAAATATTGATGTTATATGTACAATAATATTTTTTCGTATTTTCACATTTTGATTTTTACCCATGTTCTATTCTCTAATTTAAAATTTTATTTGAAATTTTTGACAAATTAAAAAAAAATAAAAGGATTTGAATATTCAATATATTATTTGTCAAAAACATTTTATTTTTGATTTTTTTCTGTTTTATATTTTATTTAAAGGTATATTTTTATATGATCAAACCTTTCAAATATTTATAAAATTATTATTCCAAGTTTCCGGAATTAATATAAAAGTTCAATAAGAATTTGAAAAGTTTCGTACAGAGTGTCTTTCGAATTTAGAAATGTCAGTTTTTGTTTAAAAAATTGTTTTACAACTAACTTTTTTAAAATAAACACTACCGCATATATATTTATACAAAAATCAACCAAAATATTACAACTATCTAATACCATTTACTACAAAATGTCAGATTTACAATTATTTACAGAATTGTGTAATCAAAAAAAGTAAACTAAAGAACATTAGAAATAACTCTCTTTATTTAGATAAAAAATAAAATCATAAACACTTTTACTTGAAATAACAAAAATAAAAACAAAAACAAAACTAAATAAAAAAACAAAAATTACAAAATAGTTAAAAAATGAATTAAAAAAAAAGTTTAAAAGTTAAAGAAAGTAAATTTATATTTAATATAGTTTTATTAATGTTATAGGAGATTACACAAATTTGCAAATGTTTCATTATTAATATTATTATTATATTTAATATTATCTTAATATTAGGATGGGGGATTTGTCCCCTTATTGTCAGCACAGCCATGAGGCTCATAACCTCAAAAAATTTAAATATACTTACTTATCTTAATATAAGTATATATAATTAAGAGTAAACATAAGAGTTTTATAGTTTTTTTTATAATTAAAAATTTAATAATATGCCATGTTTATTAAATTACATAACCTTATTCAAAATAAGTTAGTTTACGTAGACCATGCCACTAAAATATATAAGTAAAAAATATATTTTTTTAAACAATTTTTTCAAAAAGTTTATAGATTATATAAACAAAACGTTTTTTAAACTTATTTTATATTTTAATATAACCAATATTTCTACAAAAAAAAAGTATAAAACCCTTACAATATTATTCTACGTTAATACTTTTTTTGGTTTATATTGTCGTATATATATCTAGTTTAACATCAAATCTATAATAAAAACAAAAATATATAACATTTAAAATATGTACGATCAGATTATTTTGGTTGTTCAACAATATCACTAATTTTTTTAGTATTATTTCATTATATATAGAGCGATTCATACTTTGCGGCTCGAGCTAATATCAGAAAAATTAAAAATTAATAAAAAAAATGATGAAATGTGATGACATGAAAATATTAATAAGTAAAATAAATTTTAATAATAATACCCATGGACAAAAAGTAATATCAACCCTAAATTCTAATTTTTAAAAATTTGTTTTCATTATTTGTAAAGTTTAATATAAATACGTATTGTCTATCATTATTGTTTATATTTTATATTTTAATTTATTAGAGTAAACACTAGCGATTATATTTTATCAATTTTACTAAAAGTTATGTACATATCAAAATAATTTTATTATAATTGTATTTCAGGGAGTATATTCCTAAATTCAAACGCTAACTCGAATAATAT